CAGGAAGGCCCTGGTCAACCAAGGGCTGGAAAACGGGCACAAGGTGGTCGCGGGGGAGCCAAAAGGGTGGGAAATTACCGAACGTGCAGAGACGGCACCTCATCTCGTTTCTGCGGGGCTCTGCTCGCCGCGGGGCAGCTCTTACCTGTGTGCTGGCCCCGCCCCGTGGCCTGCGGCCCAGTTCCGCCCCGCCCGACCTCTACCTGGAGCCCAACCGCCACGCCCCTAGAGGCGGCTCGCAGCCCCGCTCCCCCTAGTGGGGAAGGCCAAACACACACACGCTTTTAGCAAAAAGTAGACTTTTATTACAGCAGCAACTGAGGCGAATTGAATGGCCCCCCGGGGCCACAACTGCAGCACCACCCTTCCCTCCCGCCCGGCTGCCCCAGCGGGATTGTAGAAGTCAGCTCCCCCAGTGCCCGGGGCCTCCTGTCCACACAGGTTGAGCGGGAGCCAGCAGACCTGCTATTCGCCCTCAACTAGAAGGCGGCTGCTGAGGAGACCCAGGCCCACGTCTGTGCAAAACAAGTAAACAAAGTGCAGAGGGGGGGAGGAGGAGCAGGGGTAGGATGATGCTCAAAACCAGGGAGTCCCCACGGCCCTCCTGAATAATAAAGGAGAGAGGGGGCTTCACAGGGTAATACTGACTGGGGGAGGGTCAGAGGGCTGTTGCACATGTAGTGCCAGCCACAGCTCAGACAGGGGCCTGGCCCGAGTGAGCTCTAAGAGGAGACGGTGACAGCGGCTGAGTTGAGGGTGCTGTTCCTGGCAAAATTGAACTTGTTCAGAGTCTCCTCTAGCAGAGAAGTCAGTCTGCTCTGGTCAGCCTGGAGGAGAAGAGCTCAGTGAGAGAGGAACTGAGAGAATAGAAGGAATGGAGGCAGCCAGGGCAGAAAATGGAGGAAACCTCACCTCACTAATGAAGCCCAGCTGCACCAGCTCAGCAGCCAACTCCGGGATGTTCTCATCTGGCAGAGAAACAGGCGGGGGTGAGTACAGTACAGGAGGGAGGGACTCAGGTTACCCCTGCTAGGAAAGAAGAATGGAAGCAAAACTGATCCACCCACACCCGTCTTAGAGGCTGAAGTACTCATTCTATGAGTCAATATATTTTGTCTGTCACCTCAATTATGATTACGCCCCTCCAAGATAAGAAATCCATCCTCCAAGGGAGAGACTCACTTGGCATCAAGTCACAGCTCAGGTGTCGGTTCAGTTTGTCCTCAAGCTTCAACAGAAGTGTCAGCTGAAGGATAAGACAATCAGAAAATGAGGACTCTTTACCCACCCTCTGACCCCCTATAGCCTGCCCGGTACAGCCCCTTCCCTAAGCATTACATGATGTTTGACGCCCTCCTCCACCGACTCAATGTTGCACTGCATCAGCACCACCTACAGAGAGAGTGCAGAGGGGACCACTGGAGACAACACAGTAAAAAACTTCAACCCTTAGATGCTTTTCTAGCTCTTGGGACATGGTCGGTGAGGAGCAGAAACACATCCATTCTGTCCTCTCAAGAACAAAGCCTCATCTGAGATGGCCTCTCTTCTCCCATGACCACTGAGACCTCCAAACCCACAGAGCCCCCACCTTTCTGGTCTCCACCTCGGCTGGTTCAGGTGTTGGAGTCTTGACAGAAGGTGGAACCACAGGTGATGTCACCTCCTCCTGCTGTGGTTGCTGAGGCCGAGGCAGGCCAAAAGCTGTGAGTGGGTAGATCCCGTTCCTTCGAAGATGAAGACAGGAACATGGGTTCTATGAATGCCTTAAGAAAGCCACCCCTGCTTCCTCAAGGAAGCCTTTTCTCACTTTCCACTCACCTGACATCTTCAAGGAATTTATCCAATTCTAGAGCTGGTGATTGAGAGTACCTGGAAGAGAAAAGGAAGGAAGCAAAATAGTAGGTTCAGCCATTCCCAGAGAATAGCACTTTACAGACCCCTGAAAAGGGTTCTGATCACACGAGTCTCTCTCCAGTTCATTTTACTCACAGTGTCTGAATGGGCTCTCTTCCTGGTCCTGCAGGGATTTCAGCCAGTACAGCACTGGTATCCATGTTTTTGGTGATCTCCTCCAGAGCATTCTCTGGGATCATGTCTAGAGAACATGACGGAGTGAAATGTTATGGAAGGTCGGGTTAAGATCCACTGATGTCACAGAATGCATGCGTTTCCAATTGGGGTAAAAAATAAGTTTGGAAATACTAAAGAGACCATACCAGTGACAGTTACAACGGCTCTATCTAGTGAAAAGATTTCCTAGCAGAGCCAAGACGACTCACGTTGGTGTCCCACTATGCAGTGGGCTGCAAGGAGTTTGAGCGACGGCACTTCAAACAGTGCTGGGTGGAAGAGAAGTTCTCTGGCTGTTGGTCTGCAAGCAGGCTCAGACTGCAGGCACTTTTGGATAAACTCCTAGAAAAGAGGACAAGGAACTAGAGCAGGCATCTGGCAAACATTTCATCATGTTCATCTAGTCACCTCGTTTCTTAAGACTGTACAAACTACTTAGTGCCTGATGAATGAACAAACTGAGAAAAAATATACCTGAAAGGGCTTTGAAAATGGTAAGGTATTGTATGAAGGATACCAATCACTACCAATCTAGTTTTAATTACTTTATACTCTCCAACCACAAGCTTGCTTTCTTATTTACTGTTCAAACTTGGTATTTATTTTCTACATTTGCCTTCTTGGTCCACTTACTGCCTACTTTCGTCTCCAACCATCACCAAACTTAGCTTCTCAATTTTTTAACTTAACTCACTGTAATAATAATATTTACCATCTTTTTCATTCCCAAGTCTAGGACTACAATTTCTTTAAGTCCACTATAATCATTTACTGAATCCACTGGATTCCTCATGATTCCTTCTAAAACCCCTTCTATCTCTCATCGTCCTATGACAATTAACTTGCTTTCCTACTTTCTTTCTGCACTGCCAGCAATGTCACTTACACTGAATACTTTGTACTTGAATATTCACCTATCTAATTAGTCTACCCACCAATTCAAAACCCTTGCCTTCTTTAAATCTCAGCTCATTATCTCAGGATCCTTTCATTAGTTAAAACTACAGCCCGCTGTTCAGGGTAGATTCTGACTCACAGAAACTATCAGATTTCAGTGGCTGTGCATCTTTATGGGAGGAAATGGCATCTTTCATCCAGAGCAAGAGAGTGGATTCAAACAGCTAGCCTTTTGGTTAGTACCAAAAGTTAATAAATCCCGCATGACTGATCTGATTAAAAGATTAAATGTTGCCATTTCAACCCAGTAATAGTTAAGTCATACAGCATTGTCTGCATACACAGAAGAGATAGGCATACCTAATTAATAGAAAACTTTCAACCCCAGTATTTCTCATCTTAACTCCTACTTATCTGTATGTTTGTATAAAAAAGATAGAGTAGGCATCATCGGTTAAAATGTTACTCTTTTTGTCTATCCTTTCTGATTTATGTTCCCTTATTCTGCTCTTAGGAGGACACATATTCCCAATATGTAGATAGAAGGAAAACCTGAAGAAAAATCTTAAAGTTAGAAAAGAAAGGAGCAATCCTGAAGAACCTTACCCTCTGTAATGGGTCTTCTAGAAGCTGGATTGCATTGCTGATGGCTTCCTGTGGCACATATGAGGATTCTCCATTGCCCTGAATCTCCAGCACTGCCATCTGCAGTGAAGAATAAAAAGGAAGAGATCTAAGAACCTCAGTACTTCTACAACCACTGCCTTAAGACACTTTCTGATGACCAGTACCTTAACTGTCCTCCCTTCCACCTTTTAAATGTTTTTTTCATTCTCTCCTCACCTCTAGTGCACACATGCCAAATGAATAGATGTCCACAGCTGTTGTTACATTAGTGACTTCTAGAAAAACAGAAAGTATAAATAATATATTTAATATATACATAATACATAATAAAATTGGAAATGGGAGGTGGCAAAAATACTCAAAATAACTTTTTGTACACTAAGACAGAAGGATCAGAAGTTTGTTATGTGACCTTTGTGCATCGGTTTGTAAGAGAGGTAAGTTGAGTGAAGGACAAGACTGAGAAAACTGGATGTCTTACCTCCATACTCTGGTGCAAAGAAGTGTAGATTCTTCTGCTCTTCTCGACAAGTCTTCACATGATTGTTGATAGTATCAGGAGCCACTGGTAGTAGGGGAAATACCCACAATCTGACCACCATCAATAAAGCATATTCTTAATCCAGAGAGAGATTCCCCAAAAGCTAAAACCTCCTGATGTTTCATTTCTAAGTCTCAACAGTTACAAACTTATACCCTTCCCCACTTTGAATTACAGAGAAAACATGAACATCACCTATATTTCCCCTTTCTCAGGTCTGCTGCTTCTCTTCTGAGGTTCCTAACTCATTAGCAACAATGGTTCTATATTAAATTAACAGGTGCATGGGGACTTAGTAAGGCTAGAGCAAGATGGTCTAAAGAAAAACTCATTTGTGATCTGTTCACCTTCACTAAAGTCCAGGTTCATCAAATTCCTGATCATATTTAAATGTTTAGCTTTGTTTCTTTTATATACCCTGCATCTTACAAAAACATAAGTAGCTCTTCCAAATCTGGGACAATGAGAGACCTCAGGAACTTGGACAATGAAGGGTAAAAATTACTAACATACAACAACTAGACAATCTCCTTGTTACCCACCTGAGCAGAACAAAACTAAAAAAAAAAAAAATAGCTCAGAATTGAGCCAGTACCCAATACCCTTGAGAAGGTTTCACTTTTAATCCAAAACTTTTTACATGCCTACTCCATCCCCTTATTCCCAACACTGCCTGCTACAGAGCTGAAACAAGGAACCAAGGCCAGGCCCATTTGGACTCACTCAGATCATAAACAATGACTACAAGTCACAGAGTCTAGGAGCACAGTATGATTTGGGGAACCAGCCTGATGATGAAGGGGGGATAAGAATTCAAGAGGTAAGTGGCCAGCCAGGCATAATCCACAGGAAACAAGCAGGTTATGGAGGGACAAGCAGGTGGAGGACTAGGAGGGCAAAAGCTAAGCAGGCATAATTAGACAGGGAAGGCAAGGAAGGAGGGCTTTGCTCCCACGACTGCATGC